ACATCTAAATAAATCTGAATGAAGATGGTCAGATCTTTTGGAGCGGAATGGATGAATACATACAGAAAAATGGAAGATGTGGGTTTACTTAGGAATGAGGTAATTAAATGAATGTCCCAAAGTAGTATTGGTGTAATCCATATGTTTACATAGTACACTATAGTGAATGGTGATAATGAAATAATTAGAGACGAGTTTGGGGGAAATTGTGCAACATTCTAAATGAATGCAATCCAGAGGTAAAGAATATTCTGTTAGGTGGAATGAACGGATGGATGGGAAGGAGATGAGACAGTACAGAGAAAGTGACTGGGCCATTTGAAGACCAAAGAATGAATGAAACTGGGAACTGGTGAGTTGAATATGTAGTTTAAGCATGTCTATTCATATGCGCTTGTGGCAAAGGAATATATATGATTGAAGACATGAACAATGTGTTATCTATGATATACAATTCAGACTCTTAGTGAAGGACACAAGGGCAACAAGAAGTGCAAAATGTACAGCAGAGCATATTTGGCAAAGGTAAAAATGGCCTTGAAAAAAAAAATGGACTTCAAAGTGAAAGAAACCGAAGAGAGTGAAAGTAGAAGGACTACAGGAAGAGAAAGTTTTGTATGAACAAGTATTAGAATAATTTTACATAGGGAAAGAGGATATAGTATATTTATACAATATTGTACAGAGTACCAGAACCCAGCACAAAGAACCAATCAAGAACCAGCACTCCAAAAATGACCACTCAGAAGCCAGCATGAATGAAGGACCAATCAGGAACCAACACCACCAAAATGACTAATCAGAATCAGACACAAACAAAGAACCAATCAAAGAGCAGCCTTTACTAACCTGCACCAGTTGGAAACCAGCTTGGCTAAAGACCAATGAGAAGTCAGGACACCTGGCTATAAAGATAGCCCAGTCAGTTTCTGTTCAGTTGCTTGTGGTCTGTGTAGTAGATCATCTTGCCTCTGAAGATGTCAGCCACAGTTCCCAGTGAAATGTCAGAAAATCTGTTGTCTAAACCATGGTTGTTATGTTTTTTGGAGAAAATTGAGTGATTGATTGGAATATATATGTAAATGGTGAATTAGTAATAGAAGTAGATGAATTGGTGTACATAGGCAATGTATGGGTGAGGTGAAAGGAAGAGAATTTACCAAGATAGAAAACTATGGACAAATATGCAAATGAAGTTGATGTAAACTAGATTTAGCTCTATTTCCTTTCCTTTTCCTTTGACTTGTTTCATCATCTGAAATTCTAACATTTCCTGAAGCATAGCCTGATTTCCTCTGAATCTGGCAGAGCAGTTGGGTTTGGGTGAGCTCATTTGTAAGGGGGATGGAAAGCTTCCTGGATAACAAACCTTTTCATGCTGAATAGCTATGTGAGACAATACAGATCAACCAAGCTGTTTTCAGATACAGACAGCTGGCTGAAAGTGTTGTACTGATAGAGACATTCTTCAAAGCCAAAAGAATATTTGAAATCTATCTTGGTGGGCAACAGTAAAACCAAGCTGATTGTTGTTCATGCTTATTCCTGAAAAGTATCTCAAACCATAAGCCTAGTACATGCACCTAACTCCCCAGCCCCAATCTTTGACCTTGTCTCTAGAATACAGACATTAGCAGCTATTGTGTCCATCACAGAGGGGGAATGAATGAGACATAAATACCAGTTAGGATCTCTACTATGGGATTATTTAATTGATTGTTTTCTCTTCTATCAAAGGTTCCCCCACCCACCCTCCATGCCACAGTATGGTTTTTGCCAGCAGGTCCCAGTCATTTCATACAATGTGGAGCCAATCATTCAAACATCCACCATTCAGACAGAATTAAGAACCTGGTGCACATAAACCATGTGCTCTAATACTGAGCCTTCCACAAATGAGGGATGCTTCATAGATGCAGAGTTTGGAAGAGATTATTTAAGTTGTAAAATCCAAACCCTGCTCAGTGTGGATATCTGTTTGGTCTCTGCTTCAGCACAGCCAACAAAGGAAAGTTCACCACCTCTCTGCCTAAATTGTTCTTAGGTTAAGAAGTTTTTCTCAACATTTAGACAGCATTCTTGGAAATTGAATTGATTATTCTGTGTAATGCATCTGGGACGGTAGAAAACAGCTCTTGCTTTGTTGTGTAAGGGATGTAATCAGTTACATAGTGTGATATGTTTCTAGGCCATGTGATATAGCTTTCTGTATCACAAGAATCTCAATGTATGAAATTATTACTGTCTACCAGATTTAGACCAGTTCTCACATTTTTTCTCTCTTCCCTACAGTTGTATACAGATGTGAAATGCATAGCTTTACTTTAAATAAGTAGATACACAACTGTTAGTGAATAGGGCACTATGCAAATTATAAAGACAATTTTAAATATATCATAAAAATCACAAATGCATTAAAATGGTAGACTGCTACAGGAAATGAAAATCGTTTAAAAAATCAGGGTCGGTTCACGTAAAAAACCAAAAAAACTCCATCTGGCAATGAAATGTCTTTACTAAGCAATAAGTGATTTTTTTTTTTTTTTGCCTGCTAATTATTTGTTTGGTTTTGTTTCTTTTTTTGTTCATTCATTTTAATTTCTTTCAGGCCAGCCTCCAAAGGCAGTATGGAGTACCATAAATGTGGCATTTATGGAATGCCATGAATAAATCTCTCTTGGCAAAGAATCCCATTCTCACACTGCAGAGAAGGCTTTCTGTTGCATTTGGGTCAGTTTTGTGTCTGTCACTTCTGAGACACAGAAAAAGTCCTTGTTTCTGGAACCTGAAAAAAAAAGGCAGTTGAACTTCATTATATCCACTAAGCTCTGCATCTGGAGAAATAGAGTAGACTGAACCTCACATTTAGCATCTGTGATGGCAAAAGAAAGTTTTTGAAAGCCTATCTTTCTTTTGACCTGGTAAACATGACAAGGACCAAGTCCAGTTCCCCACTTTACATAATCTTGTTAGGCCTGAAGAAACTATTCCTGCCCCTAACAAAGCTCCTTTAATCCTTTTTGGGCCAAAAAGAAAGGAATATTACTCATCTCAATGCAAGCAGGATGAAATTGACAAAGAGGAGTGGAGATTCAGTCTGTGCAATTGGCTGAGGTAGACCTGATTGAGGGAAAAGCAACAATGTCACTAGGCAAAACTGCAGACGTTCCGTAGCCTAATCCGATTAATGTTCCATTGCTTGGTGTCAAGAAACAATGGCAATTTCCGCTGCTGCTGCTTCAGAAAACATGATTTTCTTGAACAACAAAATGGCTCTGTTTACATAGATAAAGAATAATCTGGTTTCCTTCCTATGGCCTCAGAATCCTAACAGCCCTAGAACTTCCAGCTCCACAGTTCAAAATTTCTAGAAAGACCTTACTTTTCTATTGCATTCCGTTCCTCTTTTTTGTAAGTTGGAAAGCAACAATTAGGGGGACGCGGTGGTGCAGCGGCTTAATGACGCTGAAAGTTGCCAGCCAGAAATGGTCG